TTTTATTCATTTCCAATCTCAACAGCTTCTCTATTCAACTACATTTGGATTAGAGAGGAGTTGTAAGGAATGATCATGTGTAGGGAACTATAATAAATATACTGCTGAGATTGTGAAGGTCTGCATGAGAAGAAAAGTGGGCACCTTGCTCACTGAAAGCTTGTTAATGGAAAGATTGGGGAGGGGGGGTGCAGTGACAGTTGTTTGTTTTTTTAGAAAGTGTGGGGAGCTATATTTGGAGTACTGTATGTTGCTCTCAGCACTTTAAAGCCCATGCTTTACAAACTTTTCCATTGTAGTTATATCTAAAACCAGCTTGAAAAAACAAAAAGTTCTCGTCTGCTGCCCTTGCAAGCCATCCTCTTGTAACCACCAGGAGGTGTAACCACGTTCATTTATAAAAGTGTCAATTTCCACTATGAAAAAATAGGACACACTCTTCACAAATAAAGCTTTTCAGCAAGCAAACATTGTTTATGGGTCTGGAGTGACCCTTTAAGTTTCCATCACCACCAATGGCAGGGAGCTTTGACACACCAGGCAGAAAAGTGTGAATACCCTCTGCCAGGTGAGGGATACTGTGCTGTGTAATGCACCCATAACTCTTACTAATTTCAGGCCTGCCAGAGATTATGGTCCCAGATAGATTTAGATAGAAATGCAGATGCTTGTTGGTTTAAAAAGGTCCTTTAAAAAGCAAAAGCTGAAACATTCATCTGGAGAAGGAATGAGGTCATTTGCAAACAATGAACAAAACAAACAGGTCACCAGAAATTTCAGGTGTTATTGACATAGGTGCAACTAAGAAAACTAAAACCTGCTCATAGGTTTGTTTAACAACGTGGGTAAGAGCCTTGGGAAATATAAACATGTGAACTCGTATTAAGTAACCCTTTACCCTCTAGTGTATGCATGCAAATAGCAATGCAATGCCACCCTGCTGCGAAGGTTAGTCACTTATAGGGGAGATACAGCAAGAAAAAAAAAAAAAGTTACAGTTCTAGAAAGAAAAGTAAAATAAAAATTCTACATGTATATGTAGCGACAGCTCATAACCTAGCACAATGTACTACAATAACAATGGATTTTGCATTGATAAATCTCCTACTATGTGCAAAATCTTTATTTTTAAAGCCATTTAACAAAAACAAAAACTAGAATTTGAGCTATGTTTGTCCACCCATAATTTACCTCTTTCATATTAAGTGCACCCACACCTATTCTATATAATTTTCTGCAGGAGAAATAGGTTTTTCATTTCATATTAAATATTTACATACGGAACACAATTTAATATGAAGAAAAATGTTTTTTAAATTTTTTTTTTTAAAATGTGAGACATTTAAAAAAAAAAAAAAAAAAGTATAACATGCCATGCAGATCTTGGAAAATAACTTCTCTTTTACAGCAATAAAACACACATTCATTTGTATGCGGTGATGTACCACAAGTGCCCCTCATCTATAGGTCTTAAGGTGTTTTGGAAAAGTTACAGGGTCAAATAGTGGGCTTGACCATTTCAGATCGCTAGATTGGTTGCCTTCGAGGCAATCCAGGAATAAAAATTAACCCAATCATGACATACCATTTACAAAAGTAGACAACCCAGGATATTCAAAATAAGGTATGTCTAGTCTTTTTAGTTACAACTTAGTCACAAACCCAGGCCAAAATGAGTTCATATGTTTTTTTTTTTATTTTTGTTTTTTAATTTTTCCCTCACACAAACTACACTTTCACTAATGATAACATCGTCATACATGATACAGCTCTAAAACACTCAGATTTCTGTTCAGCAATGTCTCATGAATACGACAGTCTCGCCCACCCCATGTGCAGGTCTTATGGTATTTTGGAAAGTTACAGGGTCAAATATAGTGCTTGCCCATTTCGGTTTGCTAAACCCGTCACCTTTGAGTTAGTATTGTCAGCCTGGGTAATAACATCTCCATACATATTCAAAAGTAGGCAACGGTTTGGGCTAGCCACTTTATTACAAATGCAGGCCCCATTTAGTAGGTATACTTTTTTTTGTGGGTTTTTTTTTTTTTTTTTCACACAGTTATGCCTCAGTATTTTTATTTAACATTGTCTCACGAAAAGAACAGTGCCCCCATGAACTGGCTTTCCAGGATTTGGTAAGCCACAGGGCCAAAAATATTAGATGCCCTTTTCGACTTTTCACAAAGTTATTTGCTCTGCCTATGTCACCTTCGAGGCTGTATGACAGCTCAGGAAAGAAAGATATACCCCCATTATAACAGATCCTTTTCTGAAAGTAGACAACCAAGGGAATTCCAAATTAAGTATTTTGAGCCACTTTATAATGGCTGAGAATAACAAATAGGGACTGGCCGAGGTCAGGTGGTCCAACTTTTAGGCTTGTAAACCATCAAGCTCTGTATAATCCAGATTTTCCTAAAACCCCAGTGCATTCAAAAATATTAAGTGTAAAAGTTGTGTGATACCAATCACATACAGGTAAAAATCCCAGGGGACACAGAGTGCAGGACAAAAGAGCTATCAAAGAGCTATATTTCCATTGACGTAAATATCTTACAAGTGGCTTTGTCACAATCTGGGGGTTTTGCATAATTTGGGGGCATTCCAATTTGCAGTGCTGGGGAAAGTAAGTTTTACTTACATTAATCTGTTCCTCATGGCCACCACTATCTGGTAGATGAGCGGTGCCCAAAAGATAGATCCCCTGAGGTTTTAGAACTACAATTCCCATGATGCTTTGCATGCCTTTAGAATGGTTTTAAAATTACAAAGCATCATAAAAGTTGTAGTTTTAACATCTGGGGATCTACCTTTTGGGCATCCGTGTGGTACATCCACTTCAACTCCTGGTGCCTCATCTGCCAGGAGCCCACGAGAGAACCTTATGGAGGGTCCCGCCTCCATAGATAATTCTCTCCCCCCCACCCCGTAGGGAAATTACAAAACTTGACTGCAGTCCATACGTTGCCTTATATCTTTTAACTATTCAGTATTGAAATTTTATCATCAATGTCAGCATTGGGGAGAGGGTGACAGAGTTACTTTGTTTTTATTTCATACCAAGGTATTTGATATTAAAACAATACCTCTATAAATAATCATGAATCTGTTCAAAGTAAATCTCAACACCCAAAATTGTACATTTAAATTGTAGCCATCACAATGTGATCAGTGTTTAATATTTGCATTAGGCAGTCTACCATGCAATTACATACAATATAGTATCACTTATTGTGTTTTATTATTACCTTTAAAGTTTTCACCCCCCACCCCCAAAAATAATAATATGCAAAAACAAAAATAGACTTGAGAAAACCACATACTGTACAAAGTTATTCGCTTGAGTGAGAACTTTCAGGAATTCAAGGATTCATTCCAAATTTAAGGCCAAAATGGATGAATTGGCATACTTTAGCGAACTAACCCAAACATGGTCATCAGCAAGTCAGATATCTAAAAACTGAACTGATAAAACTGCCACTGAACTTTGCCCAAACTGGAAAGAATAATAAAAAAAAATTAAAAACCATTAAAAGTCTTCCAAAAGGACCCTGCAGAGAATGGAAACAAGCACAAGCCAGTAATCACTTACGTTTTTCGTCATCTGCATGGATTAAGGATGCTGCCCTCGAAAGCACATCTAAAGGGGTCTCCATTCCTGGACAGACCCTACAAAATGAGGACATAGGTAAATAAGCTTTGCCATTACATTTGCAATGATAAAAACATGTCAGTTGTAATCATAAGAAGTGTGGCTATAGTGTTTATGGTGCCAAGAGTGCCCATCCAGCGGTGCAGGGTTAGCTCACTTGGCTGATAGCAATAAGATGCTCTGGCCCAATCGGGTTGGCCCTGCACCGCAGGGTTTAGCTCAGGAGAGTCAATGAAGGTACCTCCTTAGCAGAGAGCTTCCGGCTTTCCTGGAGGTGGTGATCGGTGCCTGGGAAACCCAAAGTTCTAAAACCATGCAAACAGTGTGACTACTTACCCTTGAAGTAAGACCGAGAACACCTGACACCATAACCACTACAATTCATTCTGACAGTATGGTGCACAAATGTAGTGAGGAAAAAAAAAATAAAAAAAAATATATAATATATATAGTTTCCTAAATTGTGTTCCAAGCAGTTGTATACTGCAAAGATTAAAAGGAATCCATGTTTAAAATGGAACGAGGAAAAATGTGATTCTTTGTTAAACTAATTTGCATATGCCCACCCAGAATCCTTTGCGGTTGTAACATCACTGCAGATTTGAGATTTCTGTGGGAAAAGCCACAGAAAAGTCTTATAAAGTCTTATGGCTTGACTGGTGTGCAGATTTTTGTTTAACATTGTATTAACTATCCACAGACTTCAGGTGGAAGGGGTTTTCAATCACAATTTTTCCCAACCATAACCTTTTTGGACATAGATCGATAGATAGATAGATAGATAGAGAGAAATATATATATAAAAAAAAATTAAAACACTCCGCTAACACTCATATCACCATATTCTTCAGACCCAAAATAATGCCAAATAAACAAATATTCAATCACACACATATTCACTACATTGAAGCACAATTGTCTCCACTACTTACTACTGTTGAACACAAACAAACACTTTCGAACAGCCCCCCTCCCCATTTTGTACTGAATCCCCAATCTAAAACATTATGCATACTCACACAAAAGCAGATAAACAGTCATACTGGACGGTCTATTAAGAAGCAAATATATGAATTAACGCAGATTAGACATTATCCCACCACTTTCTATTGAAAAGCAGATTTATATTGCCATTCAATAAGCAAAAATGAACGTACGCTTTAATCCTCCACTCACTGGAATTAAATTTCAGTAAAAATAAAGGGTTTATCTGCAATAATATATATATCATCCTTCCCCCCCTTAAGTGGCTAACAAATATGCATCTCCCAATTTACTGCTCACACCACTATACCATTGCCCACCTAATTTCTATTAAAAAAAAAAATTAAAAAGCGAGAACTGAGCGAGAACTGCACCTGTATGAATAGGATTAAGTAGTAAAAAAGCTGGTTTGAGGTATTGTCATAGCACAGAAGTACTAACACAGGTATTGTCACAAGATTAGGAACCATCAAGAAAGATCACCAAAGGCACTCAAGTTCATTGAACCAGAATTAAAATGCCCTTAACTGTTTCATGCTCGAAAGTCACAAGGGCTATGTTATACTCTCAGAAAGAGATAACAGTATAGATTTTCTATAGTTAATTGGTAACAGATAAATCAAACCGTACGCCTTCCATGACTCATGATCACAAATTAAAAGGGATCTTTAAGGACACTTGCTTCTCTCGCTTTACAATGGGAAAATAATAATAAAATCAAATTGAAACACTAAAATTGTGTAAAATAATAAGAATTAAATATTTAAAAATTCTCAAGTTATCATCAACACGCTGCTGTAGGGCTGGACATATTTGTAGAGTTTAGATGTTACATCTAATCTCTTCAGAAAATTAAGAAAATTATAACAAACAAATGATCGATCCATCAATTGGTCACCGTTCAGCTACGAACCTCCAAAATTTATGTAGGTATTTTGCAGATAAAGAATGCCAAGAACCAGAGACGAACACGATGCATATATTAGGGATTCGTGTAGAGACATTAAATCCTAGATCTAGGATTCAGATAGAGACAGAGAGATTGGATAAGCTTGCATGGCAAACCAGCACACACACAGTTCCCTGGGACTGCACACTTACATTAAGAGTATGAGGATTAGTGAAGGCTTTTAGCACAAAAGGAGCTGAGAAGAAAAAAAAAAGGCGTCCCTTTGACCCCATCACAGAGCACATTGCAGCCATGACTCCTGGATATGTTAGTATTCAAAACCAAAGTCAACATCTACAGACCTGTATCTTTTTACACAAAATGTTTATGTAAATACTAAAATAACCATTAGCACCGGTCCACCTGGAAACTCAGACATGCAGGCCAGGCCACTCATCCAATAAGTAGATAAGGTCATTAGGAAGTAAAAGTCTGATTGACCATCAATATCACAAGTAAGGAAGCCATGTTGCTGGAAAAACTAAATCTTGAGGAATAACTATGTATTTCTTCGGACTGCTGGGCCTTCAAGGTGTCTACTTTTAAAAAGAATACAAAATTGTGTAAAAAAACAACAACAACAAAACAAACACACACAGTTTAGGCCTCTGACAGAAAAGTCTTGGTACAAGAGATTGATGGTGATTATATTCTGGGCCTTTTGAGAATCACTGATAAAGAAAATCCACTTTCAAATATAAAATTCACAGTTTCTTTTCAATGTCAGTAGTACTTAAAGGGACACTATATTCAACAGAACCATGACAGCTTAAAGGGACACTGTAGGCACCCAGGGTACTTCAGCTCAATGAAGTGGTCTGGGTGCAATGTCCCATGTCCCTTAACCCTACAGTGGTAATTATTGCAGTTTCTGAGAAACTGCAATAATTATCTCGGAGGGTTAACTTCTCTAGTGGCAGTCTACCAGACAGCCACTAGAGGGACTTCTTGGGTCCGTTATCAGACACTGGACGGCCCCACGCTCTACATGAGGACCTTCAGGGTCAGATTTTTCCCAATAGGAAAGAATAAACTAATGCTTTCCTATGGTGAAATCCTAATGCGAGTGTGGCATTAGATCTCGCCGCCAGTAGGGAGGGGCGTGGGCAGAGCGTGATCCAGCGCCGAGGGACATCAGCGCTGGATTCAGGTAAGTGATTCAAGGGGTTTGAACCCCTTCTGCCCCATGGGTTGGGGGGCACGAGGGTGAGGGGCACTGAAGGAGCCTATCGTGCTGGAAAAAGGCTTTGTTTTCCTGGCACTACCTATTGAATCCTTTTATTTGTAGAGATTCTGGTTTCTATAGCTTTTCTCTGCAAGCAATAAAAACACTCAGTCACTCAGATGGCCTCTGCAGGTGCTTCCTAGACCAGTGCTGCCCAGTTTGAAGCATCTACTTTCAGATATTAAATGATTCCTATGGAGATGCATTGATAGAATGAATCTATGAGGAGATACTAATTGGCACAGCATGGCGTTTTTGTCACGCATGCGCAATAGTCTCCCTTTCTTTGGTGACACATTTTTCCTACTGGACTGTTACTTTAACCCCTTAAGGAACAAACTTCTGGAATAAAAGGGAATCATGACATGTCACGTGTCCTTAAGGGGTTAAAGGAAAACTCCAAGCGCCATAACTACTAAAGCCGTTTATAAACAGCTTTACAACCTGCCTGGGGTACTCCAAATCCCGTTACCACCTCATACGAGAGCTGGAAGCTCTCTGTGTGCTAAGCCTGGCCATGAATGGCTTGGCTGACAGCTGGTGCTCTCAGCAAAAGAACTGGCCTTGCATGATGGGGTTCAGCTCAGGAGAGCCCACAGAAGTTCCCATCCAGGAGCTTCAGCTGTTAAAAGAGGAGGTGACTATCACCCAGCAAACTGTTTGGCAAATTACATGGGGGGTGGGGGAGAGGAAAATCACACCTGGCACCATAACCATCAAGTATTATATTGGGGTTTTGTTTATTTTTGTCCCTAGGGAGAAGAGAACATTTCTACTTATTTCTAATTTATGATGCATAGAATAGAATATTACAGAAATTTGAAACAATGGTAAAGTTCTACAAGGTTTTAGTAAAAACTCCCATCAGTCCCAGAAAACTAAGAGCATGTTATTCTAGGGAGTGGGCAGTATAAACTGGCTAACTGGCTCTGAACAACCATCTAAAAATCACTGTAGTATCATCTCAATCCTGTAATTGTTATGTGGAGAGATTCATAGTTTCTGGTGCAATTATAGCTAACTGATGTACTAATAACAAGCACACAGACAGTGTTGATGTACTTGGAAAATTATTCTGAACACCTGTCCAATGTACACAACCAGGTACTGTATATACTCGAGTATAAATCGACCCGAATATAAGTCGAGACCCCTAATTTTACCCAAAAAAACTGGAAAAATGTATTGACTCGAGTATAAGACTAGGGTGGGAAATGCAGCAGCTACTGGTAAATTTCTAAATAAAATTAGATCCCCAAAAAATTATTTTAATTTTTTATTTACAGTGTGTGTATATAATGAATGCAGTGTGTGTGTGTGTGTGTGTGTGTGTGTGTGTGTGTGTATGTATGAGTGCAGTGTGTGTATATAATTCATAGTTTCGTGTGTGTGTGTGTGTGTGTGTGTGTGTGTATATATAATGCAGTGTGTGTGTGTATGTATGTATGCAGTGTGTTTGTGTATGTGATGCAGAGTGTGTAACCTTGGTGGGGGGGTGGGCATTTTATTATTATTATAATATTAAAATTTTTATATTATTTACATTTTTATTTATTTATTTTTGTCCCCTCCTCCCTGCTTGATACATGGCCAGGAAGGGGGGGGGGATTTAGCAGTCCCTGGTGGTCCAGTGGTGTGCACTGTGTAGGAGGGGGCTGGCAGCGAGCTGTAACTTACCTTTCCTGCAGCTCCTGTCAGCTCCCCTGTAAGTCGCGGAGCGTTGCCACAGTAACCAGTGGCAACGCTCTGACGCCGCGGCTCTCGCGAGACTTACAGTGGGGAGCTGACCAGAATGCAGGAGAAGGGAGCTGACAGGAGCAGCAGGACCGCCAGGCTTGTAATGAGCCCAGCGGTCCTGGTCTGTATTACGGCAATGTAAGTTGCCATAATACAGACATTGACTCGAGTAAAAGTCAAAAAATGTGCCGAAAAACTCGACTTATACGGTAATTAAAAGACAAAGGGCCAACATGACAATATTAGAATATTGGCCAGGTTTCTATTTGTAACACAGTGAGGGAGTTTAAGCATGCGTGGGATATGCATAAGGCTATCCTAGTTAAAAGATAAGGCCAGAGACCTAATGAGAGTAATTAAAAAAACTGGGCAGACTAGATGGTCCGAATGGTTCTGTCCCTTTAAAGGGACACTATAATCACCACAACAACTACAGCTTATTGAATTTGTTCTGGTGAGTAGAATCATTACCTGCAGGCTTTTTGCTGTAAACACTGTCTTTTCAGAGAAAAGGCAGTGTTTACATTACAGCCTAGTGATAACTTCACTGGCCACTCCTTAGATGGCTGTTAGAGTGCCTTCCTGGGTCATTGCTGCTTAAAACGCATCCAAACATTCAGTATCTCCTCCCTCTGCATGCAGATACTGAACTTTCCTCAGAGATTCATTGATTCAATTCACCTCTATGAGGAGATGCTGATTGGCCAGGGCTGTGTTTGAATTGTTCTGGTTCTGCCCTTGATCTGCCTCCTTGTCAGTCTCAGCCAATCCTATGGGGAAGCACTGTGATTGGATCAAGCTACCACTTCTGATGATGTCAGCAGACTGCTTGTTTTTTTATTTTAGGCAAACCGCATGCAGAGCTACAGCTTCAGGCTTGAATACAGTAAGATGTTGCTATATTTATGGAGGCATGAGAGGCCCAGGGGGGGCTAGATGGTGGTTTTAACGCTCTAGGGTCAGGAATACAAGTTTGTGTTCCTGACCCTATAGTGATCCTTTAAGTTTTTAGAGAAATAAACAAGTAATGATGGGAGGGGCAGAACATTTTTAAAATGTATATTGTAATCCACATGTCTATAAAACTGAAATGAAAACATCCCACTTTGCAAGTACATTACAAAATACTGGATTTCACAAAATGGTAGTCAGAGTCTGTAACAAACAGTAGAAATCGCTGGGATGTTTCCCACATTTGAAATTCCAGAGATGCAAATGACACATCATGGAGTCAGCAGACATGCAATCGGTTACAGTAAGAAGCTTTACAATTTCCGAAATTCCAGACTAAAATTTAACAAGGGGAAGGGGGAATATCATTCAGGAGAATAACCACATCAGAACTGGCATGAAGTAACCATATCCTGAACAGATCCAGGAATGGGGTTATTGATCCACAGGAGTACGATTTAACCCAGATATATAAAACATTTACAACAGGTACTCCAAAAATAAAAACTCACATCATTAAAGGAACACTAAAGAGTTAGGAGTACTTGTATGTATTCTTAAAGGACCACTATGGTGCCAGGAAAACACTTGTTTTCCTGGCACTATAGTGCCCTGAGGGTGCCCCCACCCTCAGGGACCCCCTCCCGCCAGGCTATATATGATAGGTTTTACTTTTTTTTTCAGTTCCCAGGTTCTCTCAGCGCTGCTTACCTCTTTTTCCATGGGGTCACAGA